TCCTCTTGGCTTCATCAATGCTTTTGGACACAAGAGAGATGGATGCACACCCAGGCCATCTTTATCTCTGTCGCACATTTAATCACCGCTGCAGAGCTACTGTGAGCAGCCACACTGGAACCAGATTTCTAATTTAACAAGAACAGAGCACTTCAGCTGGCACCTGCTCCAACACACGGCAGCATCTTCCCCTCTCCTGGGCACTGGGGTCAGGAGCACTCACTCAGATCAGCCGAAGCAATGCCTGTGCTCCCACCCAGGACTGAATCAGTGAGGCTCCAAACTTTCCACCTCACAGTTTTCCTCAGCATGGTACCACAGCTCTGCAGCCATGCCAAACCCCCTCGTGTTACCATTCTGCACCAGATGGCTCTGTGCAGACAGAACAAAACTGAGATCAGAAGTTTTTTGGTATTAAAAGTAGCATTCACCTAAACTGGTGAGTTTTTTAACTCCTAGGACAACCCTCTGCCTACTAAGATTTCTTCTCTTTGATGTTTCTATTCCCTTTGCCTTTCTCAATGCCAGAGCAATAACTGAAAAGTAATCAAAATTACTATATATAAGCTGTCAGTCACAGGCAAGAAAAGCAGAAGTATACTTCAAGCAACTGCGCTGAAAATTGATCATCATCCATAACACCAATTTCTGAATCACAAATATATTTTTAAGAAATACCATCTCGATTGTATCTTAGAGAATACTACTTTTGTCTTGGGGCTCAAGTAGCTTGTTGACCATATTCAGAGTTCACCTCTTGAGTGAGCTACAGATTTGTTCAGTCAATTTAGGGAAATTAAAAAAAAACAAAACAAACACATAATAATTGTTGCACATCACACAGTTTAACCCCACTCCTGGGAACAAGCGTTTAATAAGGTGCAACAAGAAGCTGCTACATTGCAAGAGCCAATGAACAAATCCATGACTTCATGCAGAATATGCTGCTCTGAAGTCAAAGGTTACTGCTATAGCATCAAACTGAGCCACTATCATTGATTTTACCAAGGCTTGAAAAGAAGTTGTACCAGGAAAACTTGAATCACTTTACCCTCAATAACCTAAGATTTGTTAGGAGAAAAACGTTCAACTTGTGGGAGATACACTCTTCCAAAAGAAATCACCAGCACGTATAGTCATTTAGCAGAGCCAGCAGCAGAGCCTGACAGGCAGCATCCAGCCCAAAAAAAACACCTGCAAAAGCCAATTTAATTGCTACTATTGCCAGACTTATAATGTGAACAGTATATTAACCAGGACATTGCTTAAACAATTTCTCTCCTGCTCAAGTTTTAAAAGTAAGATTTAAATTTAGAAAGCAGAAACTACACAGAGGTTCATCCAGTAAAACATCACTTTTAAAACTGTCCAATCTGCAAGAAAATACCTCTGGTTTTGCTGTTTGCAAACAGACAGGTTCAGCTTCAGAACATGAACCACAAAGGCTTCAGTCATTCAAATTTCACATGGCACACCAAGTATTTTCTAGAGAAACCAAGTCATTTCCTGTAACATAACGTACACAAACAGATATTTCACACCTAATCAGCAATCAGAGAACAAATACAATGAAACAAGGAGAGGAAGGGCAATCTCAGCCAAATGCTATGATAAAACGCTTCCAGGATCCAACCTGCTGTGCAGGAGCTCTGGATCCTACAAAATGCTCCCAACACTCAGAATGAGCTGCTCTCACACCCTCACACACAGCAGGTCCTGCTATGACAGCTCCTCACATCCACCCACTCACACCTCCACCATAGGCAAGTGGCAATGCAGCATCATCACCGTGAAAGCATGAAGTCATTAAGGACCTCAAAAATTTATGGTCAAGCAATAACACAAATCAGGACAGGGCCCTCACTGTGGAAACTCCCATTTTTCTGGACGCTCACTATGGCTGAAATCCTTTATAGGTAAGTTTAGAGCTATTTAAAATATTTTGCCCTTCGGTACAAGGCCTGGTGGGTCCCATCAGGCTGCACAGCAAGGCAAGATCCAGCTACATGCTCTCTTCTATAATATAATACCATCTTCCAAACAGTGTAAATCCGAGTGGCAAAGGGGGATCTGTGCAAGATCAGAGGCATGAGGACAGTAGCACACAGACCCCGTTCTCTCTGGGTGCACAGAGTGGGAAATGATGCTTGCAGCAATCACTGACAGCCAAACAGATTTCATCTCCTCATCAGGAAGATGTCAATTGACCAAAGAAATTTACATTCCCTGCTAAAACAAACCACTGCCATATCTATTGTATCTCAGGGATATAATGTTATCAGTAGTTAGTTACACCTCGGATCAACAGTCTGTAGCAGGAGATTCTTTCAGAAATGTTTACAGGAGTAGCGAGGATCACGTGGCTTTGGTTCCTTCGTTTTATTTTTAGCACAGAAAGAAATGGCACCAAACACGTCAGTTAATAAACCAAGCACCAGAGAAACTCTCACATAGGCAACACCAACAGTTTATAATGAGAGTACACTCCCACAGCTGCAGATCAGAACAGAACTCAAGTTCATCATGGATTAATTCTAGAGAGGACTCTGCTGGCCTTCAGTACTTTTAACACAGTGCAAACAGTGTGATTCTGGTGAAGCAAAAACCTTCCAGGAGCCTTACACACATGCTTCACTCATTCCTCCTACCCAGGCCCTGGAAGCAGCCATTCTTAGGGATAAAACATCTGGCTCTAGATTTCCCTGTACCTCACTTCCTCACTGCCATTACCCAAACATCGCACTCCTGCACCGTGGGAATGGACAATAAGGAAATAACGAAAAGCGACACTGAGCCTCATGCAAGCCTCTGCACATCCTGAAGTCTGAAACCATCAGAGGCCCATGGAGAAAACACCTTGTGAATGCAAAATGTACACACAGCAGGAGTGGCCCAGATGTATCTGAATCCAAGAACTCTCTGCTTCCTCAAACACTCAAGTCTGCAAATCAAATGACTCAAACATACTGTGTGCACAGTAACTAAAAACCAACAAGACAACAAATCCAAGTATTAAGGCATTAAAAGTTACGTTAGAAGAGCAAAATTTCCACGTGAGAGTTCTGCAAGAAACAAGTTCACCTGCTCCAATTCCTCAGCATCTAAATTCAAGCAGTATCTGTGGCACTCAGATCTTCTGTGGCTGTACCCACCCTCCCCAGCACTGGAGTCTGAACTCACCTCTCCCTCCAACTCGATACAACTGTCCAGGGCCTCTGCAACTGGGAAATGCCAGGAGAGAACTACAGACAAACTCACATCAGGATGGTAAAAGACAGAGACATTCAAGAACAACCACTCATTTAAATTTAAATGGCCATAGCCCAACATGTGCATAAGGCAGCAAGCCAGCAGCTGCCAGCAGTCACTGTATCACCACCTCAGGAGAACAAGTCCCAAGAACTGATGTTATCACTTCCTTCTCCAAAACACAAAAATCTGTCAGGAGCTGCTGGGAACTTCAGACACCCCTAAGGGAAGATTAAGCTGGCACTTAAAATAGTTTTAGTTCAGAATATGCACATCTCTCTTTACAACTGAATGGTACCTGAGCAACCTCCCTTGTTTGGGACAATGTCTGAGAGCAGCAGGTGTCAGGGCTATTAACAAATCCCCATGTAAAACAATACCTGCCACCACCCCTCATGTCCAGAGGCATTACTTAAATGCTGGACTTTGCATCTCACTTAGGACTAAACCAAATTCTGGTCCTTCATGGCTGTAAGCACTCTCGAAATTTCAGAAATCGGCCTTTTCAAAGCAAGTATCTATCGAAAAATTCAAATCTTGCAAGGGGCAGATACAGACATCGGAGATACACATAAACACACTTCCCTCCTGGCAAAACAGGAAGTTTGAGTAGCAGTGGCACACTCAGAGCCATGAGTTTCAAAAATAAAAGCTCTGAGACAGTCTTGCTGTAAGGTGGAGGAGCCCCATCAACAGGCAGCATAAAGCTGATACCTTGACAAACAGCTGTGCAGAACTCCCAGGGATTCGTGATGCTTTTTTTGGAGTGGGTTTTTGTTTTAAGTTTTAGAAGTTCTCAAAAAAAAAAAAAAAAAGTTAATTCCAGTTACCAAACACAGATGAGACTGGAATTAAATGCCTAAATGAATACATGACCTGAAGAGCAAACCTGGTTATTTCTAGCTACTATGTCATGTTCAACTATTAAAAGATTTGAATTGTCTCAGTGGTAACTTGGCACAGAGAAAAATCCGTCTTTTCCTATTCCACAAGCAGTGGGGCTAAAATGAAGGCTCACTCAGACAACATGCATTTACTTACTGAAGAAAGAATGCAAGACTTAGAGAAAGCAGGATCCCAGGCTGCCAAAAAAATGCTGTTCTTCTTTGCGCTTCTTTAAGAATGCAGTTGTGCTTTCAAGTCACCAGAACAACCCAGCAAGGCTAACTACAGCACAGAGGTAAAGCAATTTTACTGAAAAGTCAACCTTTGTTGCATGTTCAAATAACAGGCTTCATCACTAGGACGGTTTTCCACCGTACCAGCTGCAGTTCTGTGAAACACGTTATAAAGGCAACTATTGTGAAAGTACCTCTACGAGCTTCTGTTTACAAAGTGAGACCCTCCCACAACTGCATCACCGAGCACATGTCTGCTAGAGATCCTCACTTTCCTCTGCAAAACAAAGCTGAAGAGATGCACAAACCTCAGACCCACAGACACCAGAGACCGTGGGATTCTTCCCAACGAACGCTGAAGATTATCTGCAAGCCTGAACTGTTCCACAAACAAATTAAGCTGCTGTCAGCATCTTCCTGAAATCGCCCCTTCCACGGGCACTTTGTGACAAGTGCTCCCCACCTCTCAGAGCACGCAGCAGGAACACTGAGTGTTCCCGAAGGAACACAATCCTCCCAAGTGCCTCCCAAGCACCGCACGCACCAGCACGATCTGTCCGGCATCAGTGGCTCTACTGAAATTAGAGAGCAACATGGTTTAGCTGTCAAAGGAGCTAATCTTCAAACCGTGCATCAATTCTTAAAGCTCAGAGTATCCTCCAGCAAAGAACCTTGAGGTTCAAAAACATACTGAAGAAATACACAAAAAAAAAAATCAACAAAACAAACAACTGAAAACTACAGGAAATATACATATATGGCTGTAAATAAAAGACTACACTGAGAAACATCTCTTATATTCAAAAGCAAATTACACAAAAAAATTACTAAATGCATCTATCTCCTTTCAGAACTCCTACAGTTCCATCAGTTCTGCTTCTTATTAATTATACTATAATTAAAAGAAATTTGTGAGTGCAGAGAGAAATTAAAAATAAAATTTTAAAAAAAGTCAGCCTGAATAAGAGGCAAGGTTTGCTGCCCGTGAGGTCTGTCAGGCCATGACACGGCCTCTCCCCGGCCACCGCCAAGGTCTCATAGCTCGGGAACCTCAGGCCTGGCCAGACAAAGAGCCTCTGACAGCGTTCAGCCTGAGCGGCAGGAGATGGGAACGCTCCCTTCCTGCCCTTCTCATCTGTACTGAGCTCAAAAAAAACCCTTCCAAGGGGGAAAAAACTCCACCGAACTCCGCAGTGAGTTGCTGGCCAGAAGGACGATGCCTCTTATTCCTGACGGGAGAAAAAGCGGCGAGGGGAGCGCGGGCGGCCGCGCCGGGACACAGGTGCGCGGTGAGCGCGGTGACAGCCCGCGCCGGCCCCGGCACGGTCCCCTCGCTCGGTAAGATGGCTCCCATCCTCCGGGGTGCCGGGGCGAGGGAGGCAGCGCGGCCGGCCCGGCCCGGCCCTGCCGCACCGCAAAATGGCAGCGGCCACGGCCCCCCCGCCCGCGCCCCGGCGGTGCTTACGAGTTGCAGGGCCGCCGAGGACTCAGGCTGCTCCCCGGGGCCGCCGTCCGGCACCGACTCGGCCGGCTGTAGGCGGCTGTCGGAGCCCCGCTGCAGAGTGGAGCGGCCGCGGCTCCGCGGGCCGGACTCTGTCGCCGCCTCCTCCTCGTCGTCGCCGTCCTCCTCCTCTTCCTCGTAGTCGTCGTCGTCGTCGTCGTCGTCGTAGTCGTCCTCGTCCTCCTCCTCCGGAGTCTCGGCGCCCTCCTCCTCCTCCTCCGGCGCCTCCTCTCCACCGTCCCGCAGGAGCAGGGGAAAGGCCCGGGCCCCGCGGGGCACCTCGGCCGCAGGGTCCTGCGCCGCGGGCAGGCGGGGGCCCGGCGAGCCAGGGTCGGGCAGGGCCTCAGCGCCGTCGGCGGCACCGCCGAGGTACTCGGCGTTAATCATGGAAGCCAAGTCCTGCAGCCGGCGCAGCGGGATGTAGCAGGACGACGGGTCCTGGCCGTAGCCGGGCTTGGCGGCCGCCAGCTGCATGGCAGGCGGCTCGGGGCCGCGGGCCTCGCCAAAGGGGCCGCCCTTGGGCTCGGCGGCCGACAGCGAGGTGCCGAAGGGGACGAGGCAGCTGCGGCGGCTCACTTCGCAGGCCTGCTCCATGCCGTGCGGCGGGCATCCACCTGCGGGCACAGCACAATGGGGTCAGCCCGGCCTGCACCGCAAAATGGCAGCCGCACCCGGGGGCCGCGATGGGCTCCGCCGGCCCCGCTCCGCCACCGCCGCACTACAGGCCCCAGGCCGCAGTCCGGCCACCCCGGCTCGGCTCGGCACGGCCGGCGCCGGGGTCGCTCGCCCTGCTGGGCGCTGCCGCAGGGCCGCCGCTCACCTGCGGGTGCCGCGGGCGGCTCGGCGCCTGCCCCCGGAGCGGGCGGATGGGGAGACGCGCCGACCCGGCCCGGCCAGGCCCCGCCGCCGCTCCGCCGCCTCCCTCCTCCTCCCTCCCCCGCATGCGCGCGCCCGACGCCGCCGCCGCCATCCCGCGAGGGCGCGCGCCCGCCCCGCGCGCCCCCGCTCTTGGGGTTCGGCGGCCGCGGCCAATCAGCGCGCGCGCGCCCGCGCGGGCCTGGCCCCCCCTCCCCCCCCCCCCCCCCCCCCCATCGCCCCCCCCCCCCCCCCCCCCCCCCCCCCCCCCACATCGCGGGAGGGGGAGGTGGGGAGGGGGCGCTCAGTGCTGCCCCCCCTCGGCGCGCCCCGGCCCGGCTCGGCCTGCCCCGTTCCCCGCATCCCCCCACCCGGCACCGCGGCCTCGGGGCCGCCGCCCGCACCTCTATCGTAGGCGGCGGCGGGGGGCACCGGGCGGAATGGGACGGGGCGGCCCCGCAGTGTTTCGCCCGCCGCTCCCCCCCGCCACGCCGGGCAGGCCGCGGGCCTGTGAACGGCGGCGGAGCGGGCGCCAACAAAATGGAGTCGGTCAGGCCCTGCGCCCCGGCGGGGCACCCGCGTAGCGGCAGCCCCCGTGCACCGATCGGCACCGCTCCCGGTCCCGGTACCCGCGGGCGGTCAGCGGGGAGTGTGGCGCGGGTCGCCGCCCGCCCCCGCTGGGCTCGGGTTACCCCCTGCCATTGTCCGCCGCGCCCCGCGGGCCGGCCCGGCGCCCCCGCCGCGCTCCCCAGCCGCCCTCCCGCGCACCGGCGGGCCGGGCCGTCGCTCTCCGCAGGACTGCCGTGCAGAACCGTGCGAGCCTTGCCGAGCCTCGCCTCGCCCGCCGGGGAGCGGCGCCGGGTGCCCGCGGCCTGGCTGTCCTCGCCGGGCTCCGCCGCTCCCGGACAGCCGCGCTCCCACCCGCCCTCCCGCCGCCGAGCGGCGCGCACCGGCCCCGCGCCCGCCCGCTCCGCCGGGACGGGCCGCCACCGCCGCCCCCCGCAACCGGCCCGCGGCGGGCGGCGGCTCCGTCGCTACCTCCGATGCGGGCCGGGGTCTCCGCCGCCAGCCGCACGGGTCCGGGCGCCGCGCCGCGCCGCCGCCGCACCGGCACGGCTGGGCAGGCACGGGGCGGGGGGCAGCCGGGGCAGCGCGGGGATGTGGCACCGGGGCGGTGCTGCCCGGGCCGCGCGGGGGGCAGGGCCGGGCTGCCGCCCCCCGGGGTGCCGCCGCGGAGCTCGACGCGGCGCTGCCCGGGCGGACCCGCTCCCCCCGCCCGCCGCTGCCCTTTGTTTCCCCCCCACACCCCCCTCGGCCCGGCGGTGCGGGAGCCCCCGGCCGCTCTGGCGCCGCTCTCCCCTCACCGGGCTGCGCCCCGGGGCAGCCGCTCTGCACACCCAGGCAGGGAGCGCCCGCTGCCCGGGCCTCGCTGCCCCGCAGGCGCAGCTTTTCCGCGCTGAAACGCTGTTCTGGAGCGGCTGCGGGCTGGCACCTCAGCGGAGCACTGGGGACTTGCCTTCTCCCTGCCTGCGCACCTTGGCAACCCCAATGAGGACACCTGTCTTCCTGATGCCCCTGTGGTCTTGCCCAAGCCCTCTCTCTGCCCTGTCTGTGGCTGGTGATAGAGCAACCATTTCTCCCAGCATCTGCTCTTGAGAAGCCACAACAAGGTCCCCAACCCATTGCCACCCCACTGGTGTACTGACACCACAGAGATTGCCATGTTCAGCTCATGCCACTCCAGCACACCCACGGAGGGTGGGGTGACTCGGCAGGAAGTTTTGCTCTTGACATGTTTATACCTCCGAGGTCGAAGCCCAGGGCTCAGTTGGTGGCACCTGCCCTATTTTTAGGCCCTTTCCCTCCATGCTCACGTGCCACGGTGACATGTGAGAGCTGGGGCCACACTGTGCCCGAGTGCTGAATGAACTTGGTACTGAGTTCCAGTATCCACAAAGTTCTCCCCAGCTTCGCAGAGCTGGGGCATCACCTGCTGTGCCTGGGTCCTTTAATTTACACCTGAAAGGGGGAAATGTCCATCTTTCCAGGATCGACTGGTAGCCACAGCCTGGCACACCTGCGAGAGGGCCCAGCAGTCAACTTTCCTCCTTTCTCATTGGAGCAACCTGCCACGCACGTTTCTGCCACGTTCCTAAAATAAAGCTAGTGGTTTATTTATACCCCCCCCGGGGCGGGCAGGGCGTGTGCAGAACAGGAACACCTGGTGTCTTCCCAGAGCCTCGTGTCTGAGGCCCAGTGAGCGACCTCGGGAGATGCTTAGGGCTGTTCCAAGCAGGGAAACTGTATCCTGGGCACTGACTGTCACCAGCAGCCCTCCTCCTGCTGAAGTGTCTTAAGCTGAGCAGGGAGAACCATCAGGACACGTGCCAGCCTGGTGAGCCCTGTGAGTCCTTGGTCCATGAGCACATGGCACAGTACCTCCCAATGGGACACTGGTGTGCAGGGGCTGTACTGCTTGGGCAGCGATGCCCAGGCAGCTCCATGCACCTCAAGGCATGTCCACATCCAGCTGTCCCAGTGGGGGCCCCGCAGTGATCCACCTGCAGCCATGTAGTTATTGGGGCAGAGGGCAGTGGTGGCGGGATGCCCTCAGACGCACTTCCCATCTGCTGTGTCACCTCTGCCCGTGCCATGGCCAGCGCCCGCAGGAAGGGCCCTTCTCCGGCCCTTCTCTTCCGGCAGAGCAACAGGGAAATGGCATCCCGGCCACTGCCTCCCGCTCCCGCCCGGATGTGCGGCACAGCGGGCAGCGTGGCCGGCCTCGCCGCCGCAGGGCTTTGTCTGCGGGCTGCAGTGGGGAGCGTAGGCAGCTACGGCCTCCCCACCGCGGGGTTCGCCCTGAGCCCCCCACCCCGGATCGTGCTCACCCCCAGCCCAGCCCCGCTCCCAGTGCACGCCGGGGCTCTACGGTCGGTCAGGCCAGTAGCCACGGAACCGCCCGGCACTGCGGGCTCCCTCTGCAGGTCCCGGTGCCCGTGCACAGATCGCGTGGTGCCCCCCGGGAGCGGCCTGATGCCCCCGCGCCCGGCAGAAATGCGCATCCCCGGCTCCCGCCATGGCCGCTCCCCGCCGCCGCCGTGATGCCGAAGAAACCGCGGCCCCGCACCGGGGGCTCCGGCGCGCTCCCCTCGAGGGAGATGAGGGCATCACAGCCGGCCGGCGGAGAGCCCCAGACCCCAGCGTGGAGGGAGCTGTGGCCCACGCGGGTCCCGCGGGAGCCGTGGGCAGGATGGGCTGGTTGCGAGTTGCCTCCGGCCGCGGATGTTCGCCGGGGCGGGGCCTGGGGGGAACGCGGACCCCGGGAGCAGCACCGGGATCCTGCACAAAGGGCCGGGGGCGGTGGCTGGAAGCCGTGGCCGTGGGGCTGGATCACGGCCGGGAGCGTGGGCGAAAGGGTTAAGGAGTCGCGGCGGCCAGGGAGAGGGCTGGCCCGGCTAAGGGAGAGGAAGGAAGCAGAGGAGGAGAGGAGCGGAGAGCATCCTGCCCGGAGGGTTTGCCGGGGGCCCCTTTCCCCCAGGAAGAGGCTTGCGTGGCTTGAAACCGCAGGGTTGGAGCGGCGGGAGCGACGGGTGGGGCTCAGCCCGGCTCCGTGCCCGCAGGCGCGGCTGTACCGGCCCGGTGTTCCTGGCGCCGGGGCTGCTCCTCCTACCGGGGGTGCAGTCTCCCTGCCGTAGTGCTTCCTTGACTCCCCGAAACCTTGCGGGGGGCAGCCCAGGGACACACAAGGGCAGAACGGTGAGTGTGGGCAGGACCGCTGCCATGAGCTGCAGGGGACAGAAGCCATCACTGCTGGGCAAATCTGCCCGGCGCGGAAGAGCTGTCACTGCACTGTCACCTGGAGGCCGGTCTCTGCAGCAGCCATATGTAGCATGGGGATTATCCCGAGGGGCCGAGGCCCAGGGTGCCCGTCTGGGTGCTGCAGCTGCTCTTTGGGACTGCCCTGCTTCCCCAGCCCTCAGGTTGCCCCCCATTCCCAGCTTAGGGAGTGCGCAGGGCTACCACCCCTGGGCAACGAAGCTGAGCTCACGCTGGTCTTTGATCCATCCACCCAAGGTAGAGTCAGGTTCACCAGGCTCCAGTGCCCATGGGGTGCCCTCCCCACACTGGTCCTGTCACTCGGAAGGATACAAACGAGATGCACATTGAGACACAGCACAACTCTGCAGCCCAATCCCCTGCCCTGCCTCACTCCCAGCCCCATCCATCGGTGTGGGTTATGGAGAGCAGAGCAAGGATACATCCCCATGCCGCAGACCGTTTTTCCCAGTCGGGTTTGTCATCCTTCCAACACAGTCCCGTGCCTGTCCTGCCGCGAAGGCCACTGTCACCAGCCTACATGCGGGGGATGTGCGGCGGGGGAGCTGCTCTCCCGCTCCGTTCTGCCCGCCCCGCGCAGCTGCTCCCGCCGGCCGGGAGATGGGGCTGAGAGTCCGCAGCTTCCTGCAGCACCGGCGGGTCTGGCCGGCGGCCAAAGGGCCGAGGGTCCACCCGAGCACGGGACCACCGCCCTCGCTGGCACCCCCAGCCTGGCCTGTCCGGCTGGGACTGGGGTCCGCAGTGGCGCTGGCACCGGAGCCTCGGATCTGCCGCGTGAAGTGAGGTGCAAAGGTGTGTGTGTGTGTGTGCGCGCGCGTGTGCGTGTATGTGTGAATAAGGGTGGAGGTGAACATGTGTGACATGTGTGTGCGTGGAAGCAAGTGCGTGGGGGTGTATGAGGGATTTTGTGGGGGATGTAGTGTGTGTGCTTGGCTGGGAGTGGATGCATGCTTGGGGGATATTCCTGGAGGGTGTGCCTGAGGTGTGTGTGCAGGGTGCTGTGAGTGTGCACACATGGACTTGTGTGTGCAGGTGCTTCTATATGGATATGGGAGTTGGGTGCATGCCTACATCAGTGTGTGAGGTATCCCTGGATGCAGGGACTGTGGCGGGATCCAATGTTTGGATTCCTCCACAGGAGAGATGGGGTTCTGCCTCAGCCTGTACTCCAATATGTGGGTGCTCATAGGCCCCTTTTCTCTGCCCGCTGACCCATGGG